GGGGGGGGGGTGCTAGTGGAGTGAACGCGTCTCAAACAAGCCTAGTTTGTTTACAAAATTGCGGCGCAACTTGGTGGGCGGTACCCTGGAAAGAAATCTCTGCGTGAGAAATACAAGGTGTCGTGTGGCGTGTGAGCGTGTGAATGGAGTGAAATGCGTGACTTGAGAGCTCTGCACTGTGCCACACACACCCCCTACACACTGGTGGTTTTTACCACGTGCTGGTGATGAAACTCTCCAATTGGCTAGGCAAAAGTTTGTTGTTGTTTTGTGTCATTAACATTTTTCATCATTGTTCATCATGAAATTAATATCTATATATGTTATACTATACTATACTATACTATACTTGCACTGCTTACCGTTTTCATACTTTATATATCTTAGCATATTCATACACACTGTTCATACTGCTCACAGGCTGCTGTGTATATTCATACCCCTCACTGTTTATTCATCATTCAATTCATTCTATATTTTATTCTGTAGATTGTGTACATTACTTTTCACTTTACTGCTTGTTGCACTCCTGGTTGGAAGCTAAACTGCATTTCATTGTCTCAGTACCTGTAATATGTGCAATAACAATAAAGTTGAATCTAATCTTGAGCAGGAACAAATATATTTACTTACATACTTACATATCTGACATTATCGATTAAACACATGTGTGCATTCTTTATAAATGCAAACTTAGTCAAGCCGACTCCGGAGGTGGCGGTATGCACCTTAAAGTGGTTTGCAATCTGCCAAAAAACCGAGAGAAGAAGAAGAAGAAGCCGACTCGGAGCTGTCCGACTTCAGGCGAGCTTTTTGAGACCTCCCCCGGCTGCGATCGGCTATTCTCGTCTACTTTCGAGGCGAGCCGCAACGCGTCTCAAACAAGCCTATACAGTTCACTCAAATATAAGACTAGGAGAAGCAGACGATGATCACATTTAAGAGGCTGAAAACATCAAACTTTAGGCATCATTGATTAATAAAAGACTGATTGCTTATCCAATATGATGTCACACGCTGCATTTTCCTGTTGTTAACATATTACTTTACTTCACATATGACCCAAACATTTTTACTTGCGCATTTATATAAGTCATTTTCAAATGTGTAGTGACTTTAAAGCATATTTGCATGAGGAGTTCTGCTCAAGTATCTTCAGGGTCACAATAAACTTGATAGTTTTTTTGAACCAAGGATATAAAAAAACATACATGAGTGGGTTCAAACAAGAATTAAAATACAACAACCAGGTCACAATACCCACAACTTGTAAATCATCCTCTCCTGCTAGAGAAGGATAATAATATGGACCGAAAGTAAACAAATACACAAGTATGACAATACCCAGAATCCCGGCTGCTTTTCGCTGCGATTTTGTTGCCTTTACTTTACCACCTGTACCAGCTGTAATATGAGAATTCATGGAACGAGTCTGAGACACACACCACCACAGTAAACACTCGTGTACAGAACAATAATGACAGCAGGGGCCGATGAATGTGACCACAATATCCACAGCTTCAGAGACATAGTTAATCACCACTATACACTCACCATTACAGTGTCTGTCCCTTAGACGGAAATTGTCCTTTTAAAATCAGCCCGTTGTAGAGAAATGAGCAGCCCCAGCACAGACACACACAGACATCTCAGTTCTTCTGCGAGTTATCTTGTTGATGTACTGCAGAGGATAATTGATTGCTACAATTCGATCAATCGAGATGAGCACTATGATGCCGACCGAGGCTGAGGTGAGAGTAAAGCTAAGAAAGAATGACAGACTGCACATGATATCACCTAGCAACCAATAGGATTCGATGATTCGCATACTTTCAACAGGTATCACAAGCAGTCCAACGAGGAGGTCTGATATAGCCAGGGCGAGAAGGAGCAGCTTGGGTGGGGTTTGAAGATGTCTGAAATGGGAGATGGAGATGATCACCAGCAGGTTGAGAGCAACAGTGATCACGGCGATGGAGGAGAACAGCGTGTAGAGGAGGACAGCCTCAGAGTTAGGACGCTCTAATCCCCTGCAGGACCAGTTCAGGAGCTGAGGGTAGCATAGCTCCAGACTGCTCATCTTCCAATACTGAGGAGAGATGATGATCTGAACCTTCACTAAACTCACGGGACATCATACAGCTTTCTTATCTCTGACGTCACTCTTTACACCTCCTCTGAGCTGATAGGCTGGTGTTGACAACCTATTCCTTGTTTCTTACATTTCTCATTATATATCATCCTCTTGGTCACCCCTCCTTTCTCATCCCACTGTTACATGATGCAACATTTGAGTTTTATGCAATTGCCAAAACAATTTACTCTTTAGATTTGGTCATTTGTAATAAAGTCACACACTTGTTCTGACAGACATTTCGAGCTTGTTTAATTACTTGTGATGTCTTTTTTTTAGGGCACAACAACCTCTGTTGTGGTTTTGTGCAAGAAAATGCTTCAGATGTACAAGCACAGGCACAAATCAGTTGTGTAGAGAATGAGAGCCAATGAGATCCAATTGCAGTTTGTACGGTAGTGATTTCAGCCAGATTAGTCTCTAAACTGTTCTCTGCAGTTCTATGTGGGTATCATTGAAAGAGTATTTAGGATAAATCAACAATCATTTAAATGTAATCAACAATGATTTGTATTACTCTTAAGCTAATCACTTAAATTGTTAACCGGATTCCCTGCTTTTTCCTGCAGTTTTTTTGTTTGTTTTCATAGTGTTTCGCTTTTAGATTATTAATAAGGCACATTGACAAGGAGTGAACTTGTGGCCTGGGAAATTGCAATTGGAATGTCAGAAACATAGCGCCACTTGCTCTGAGCAGTTCAAAGTTTACAGCCTTCTTAGATTCTCTGAGAAGGGTCCTAGAGAGGTTACTGCCTAAAGACTTGATGGATTGGAAGTCTCAGAATTGCTTCACTGCTCTTTGCAGATGAGGTGGGATCTGTTTTGGTTTTCTTCATCAAACTGTGAATTTCTGCACACACTGGGGCAGTTTGAAGTTGAGCGTGTGAAGTGGATAAAATGAGAGTCAAACCCTTTCTGAGGCGGTGGTCTCTACATAACCAAGATTGATTGCTCGCTCCGGGTTCTGGTTGAATTGCTGCCTTGTGAAGGAGTTCAAGTATCTTGTGGTGTTGTTCATTGGTGAGGTTAAGTGTATATGAACAGGTGGATTGGTGCAGCGTTGCATCGGCCTGTTTTTGTGAATAAGGCCGTGAGCTGGAAGGCATATGAAGTATTCCTCCATGGCAGTATTTTTTGGGTACAGAAACCCATCCCCACATCAGTGGATTCAAAAAGATAATTGAAAAAAGTATTGATTAGTCGAAGCACTGGATTTTAATGTCTAGAATATTTATTATGTGCTGTCCACTAAGGGTGCTTTACAGCACCCATTGCTACTTCCCAAGGTACTAAGACTTAACATGCAACTAATGAGTTTATGATCAAGTTAGATGTTTAGAATACAAAAAGAATGTAAGCCTTTCATAGATCTAGCCTCTGTTGCTTTCTAAGTGCTCCAAAAGCACATAACTTTTAAATGTAGGTAACGTTTTATTTCAAGTGAATGATATTTGCATAGTAGTTTGTTTTTCTGGCAAAAGCTAAGTTCATCGCTGACTTTTGTAATTGGAATACTGTTGCATCATGTGTTGATGTTTAAATATGTTTATTAACACCTTTGAATATAATTCTCCTGTGGTTAACGTGTTATCAGACATTAGGAATGAACTGGTACACAACACAGCTATCAACCGTAACAAGTTATTTTTGTTTACAGACTCATATTTGCATATTATTAATGTTTAATGAAAAAAAATATCAGTACCATATCAGATAACCTTCCTCAATAATGTAGTGCTGCCATCTACTGATTATGATACCAACTGATCCATAAATGGTCATATGTTGAACGTGTTCAGAAGTGAACTTAAAACTCTCATTGAGATCTGAGCAGTTTTGTCTTTCAGCATTCATCTGAAAGACAAATCTGCTCCCAGTCAGGAAACGTACCATTTCCAAAAAGGATGTCATACTGCACCAATTGCATTTTTCTGTCAGAAGTTTGCAAGCCAGCATGTTTTTTGCCTTTTCTGAACCACAATCCTCTGTACAGCAGATACATGAGCAAGACGGTCAAGGTTTGAGATGTGATGACAAAATAGTATGTCTTGTAAGGGCAGCTGCAGTATTAAAGGTAAAAGAATGCGCCTCTGTTGTTGGCCTGTAACACTACTGTAGTGTTAATGTGGCTAACCAGTCACTAGATGGCCCCTTTGGTGAAGAAGTAGACTGCAATAGTTTTGACAAATACAAAAGAGCATGTTTAAAAACGTCATAGTATTTAAAAAATAAACAGAAAAACAATGCAAACTAATTAGGATTTTCAGAGATATATGTTTTTTATTGGTTTTGTTCAGAATTCTGAAATCTATATTACGTAATATGTAGCACCCTTTTTGTATTAATCTACATGAGGAATCCCACTGTTACTGTTGTATTTAGAATGTTGACTGCTACAAAATAAGATTAAGCCACAAAATAATACAAGCAAAAGCCACCTTAGTTTTTTTTAAATATTGGTGTTACCACACTATAGAACGAGGACTGGGGAAGAAACATGAAGAAACTTGGAGACGGATGAGATATTCCCAGAGAGCATGGATAGCTTACATCATTCAGTGGGAAGAGGGCGACATTGTTTAGAAAATGAGTTTTCTTTGTAGGAGGGAGGAGAGTTGGTGCTCTGTTGAACCAGAGGAGAAATATATGAAGGTCAGATGGCAAAGGAGAGCTGAGCGGCACGTCCCACTGCAGATCTCCTTTCTGCATCTCTATCCTGAAGGTGTGGATTGTGTGAGACCTTTTACCTTAGGTTCCCTCTGTTGTATAATTCACTGGCCTTTACTTCTCCAGCATAGTACTGTACTATGGGCTTATAATATTATTATTATTTATTTGTTTCCCTTAACTTTTCCTTCTAACTTAATTGTTGAAAATGCCTTCAAAGACCACGATAACTGGGTATTTTGATAACGCTAAATCTCATAAAAAATGTGTAGTAATGTGTTTAAAAATCTATACATACATCTTTAACATCCAATATGTTTGGAGACTAGCAGACATGTAAAGTTTAAAAAGAATAACATTAACTCAAATATTCTAACGTATTCATTAAACTGAAATAGTAAATTCCAAGATTTGAAGTTGTAATAACAATATCTAAACTTGTAGTAAAAGTAAAACAAATAAATTAAGGGTTGTCAATTTTTTATTGTATGAATAGTTGTGATCCTCGAACATTTTCTATAAAGGAAGTATACTAGCTTTGTTAATTGTTAGGAAATACCATTGTCTTTTTTTACGACATTGTTACCAGTTAAGTTAAAATTGAGACATATTTTTTTAAATGTCATTTTTGTTTTCCATGACATAATTCTTTCAATGTGATACTTTGATCACCTTCAAATGTCAGAACTCACTTTGCCAATTGGAACCAATTTACTCCAAACAGTAAGGCGCTCTCGGTTAATGTACAATACTTTTTTCTCTTATAGTACGTTTTACCTATATTAGAGCTCTAAAAAAGGTAATTTAATTACCACGAATTACAATATCTGAATCAGCTATAATGAATGAGGTTAAGATTATTGGTTGATATGCTTTTAATCCATGCTGTGTCAGCTGATTTTACAATTTAAAATATAAACAAGAATAATATCATAAACAGAATATTTAAAAAACAAACAAATAAACCCCCCCCACCCCCCCGTGTTTCACAATATAGAATATAAGAATGATTTATAGAGTGGAGTGATTGCGATTGTTTAAGATTGAAGTATTTGGTATGTAAGTCTAAAATAAAGCAATTTGTAAAATACCCATTCTTCTAAACATCTCATAGGTTTATAAACACATAAACAAACATGCCCATTGCCCACACATTGACACGCCTGGTTCCACACAGTTTTTCTTCCATAGACTGCGGCCTAATTGATTCTCATTTTAATTATGTTGACTGAGACTCTGTCTCTCCTCTTCACTGACAACAAAACCAGCGCGGGCCGGCAGTCTGCCTCTCACACTGTGAGGATGACACCTCTGTCTCCTTACAGAGAAACTAGTCAACAATCCACTTTGATGTCACTCCCCCCGTAAAGGAAAGGTCAAAATAATAAATGTAGGCCCAATTGATGGGTTGGCAGGGGGGCGCGGGGGGTTCAGTGCTGATTTTTGGACGAGTGCTCCCCTAAAGGCATAATGAATTCATACAGTCAGGCACGGCCAAAGAGGAAAACAGCATGGGGCCTCTTTCCATGAAAAGGTTGATCTAAATCTGCAGACGAGTCTGGCTTCTTCTTCCCACTCATTCTTTACACACATTACTCTTTTCTCTCACTCTCAAACACTGGTCTGTCTCACACTCACATGCACACAAGTATAAATACTCCAAAATATCTCTGTCTTTCACTTCTCTTTGACACACACCTATGCATATGCATCACCTCCTCCTTACCTCACTGACAGAGGTGAACCACATCCCCTTGGAACAAAAAACTCTCAGTTAGCTGCTCCACCTAACGCCTCCTCACAGCAAGACAACTTTGAATAAAGAGACAATAACCCAGTAATACACAAATTCTTGAATATGCCTTTGAAGATTACTCAGGTCACCAGGGTCGCGGGATATCTGATATAGGTCAAAGGCAACTCAGCTACACCATGCCTGATAGCCGTCCGTACATTGTCACAAATTCATGTTTTTAAAGTGAGGTTAAGATCCCAACTTTCACAAACCGAAATATTGGCAGGCTGAATTACAAATGTATCTAAAAGTTTCACTTTTACAAATTTGCAGCAGCTTTGGTGGGATTATTTCACTCAGATGAAGCAGTTTGTGCTGAATTAACTATCTTTCACTTAAGTTAAAGAAGCAATAACCCAATGTAAAATTCTCTATTACTAATGAAAGTACTAATTTCTTAATGCTATACTTCGGGAAAGGTACCACGGTATATAAAGCAATATAAGAATCAAATGCTTCCTATGCGGAATGGACCCTTATAGAG